GGGAAAATGAGGAGCTGATGCCAGGGGCTTAGGTGGAAAGCAAATGTTATGAGAATTATGAGGGTAATGAATGTACACATATACTTTACACAATTGATGTATGTATGGATTGTGATAAGAGTTGTATGAGCCCCTAATAAAATGATTAAAAATAAAAGAAAATTATATTAGTTCTTTTATTGATATGCTGTAGTCTACTAAAACAATTATTTCTTTCTTTATCCGTAAATATCTACATCAAGAACTGCCTATTTTGGGATCGCCAGCATTGTTCTATAAATGTAAGCTTCCAAGAGGTCTCAAAATCTGAATTGTGAGGGATGACATAAGAGAATTCACATCTATATCCAGCACCCTGCTGCTTCTTCAGCATTATAAATTCTGAAAGCCAAACATGTTCTTTGTTTTGTACAATAAAGTGTTTCCTTCTTCACACTTAAATGCTTGAAGTCATGGTGTATTTCCTTACATAATCCAGAACAACAAAACCAGATACGTTATTCTATTTACTACATTAATATTAATACCGTATTTTTAAGTTATACTAAAGCTAGAAGCCCTGCTGGTGGAGTGGGTTACTTATTGGGCTGGTAACCACAAGGGCAGCAGTTCAAAACCACCAGCCACTCCGAGGGAGACAAATGAGGCTTTCTACTCCCATAAAGATTCAAAATCTCAGAAACCCACAGGGGCAGTTCTACCCGCCCTATGGGCTTTCCATGAGTTGGAATTTACTCGGTGGCATGGAGGGAAAGCTAGAGAGTTTGAGACTCATTTCTAAAACTCCTCACCTGTTATATAAGGAAGTGAAGTTGGAAAGTGCTTAAGGTCACAGCACTAGTGTGACCTGAACAAGGATCTTGTATTAATGCGTGTTGGGTATAAAGAAGTGCTTCATTCCAACTCCTGGGCAACAAGTGAGACTATGTGAATCTTCTCTGTGCAAGGCCCTATTAGTCAGTCTTCCTGACATTTACGTCCAATCACTGCAACGTGAAAGGAGAAAAGTAATGTTGCATAAAGAACAACGAAAGAAGCTTGAGAACATTTTTAAGATAATGTGCAATCCAGTTCAAATTAGCCTAATAGAGTGCAGTGTACCCCAGGCCCTGGGTGGCACAGAGAGTTACATGTTGGGGTCCTACCTGAAAAGTCAAACCCACCAGATGCTCCACAGGAAGAAAATGAGGATGTTTGCTCCTGTTAAGAGTTAGTCGTAGAAACCCAAAGGACGGTTCTACTCTGCCCTGTAGTTCCTATGAGTCAAAATTGACTCAATACCAGTTAGTAGGTTGTTTCAGTGCAGTTTACATAAGTACAGTGATGTGAAGATTTAGCCGGGAGAGAGTAATTTCCGAAAGGCTTCCTGTGGGCCGTAAATTTTGCTCGACAGAAAGAAGCTCAGGCCATTTCGGGTTCAAGGAATGGGAAGGCACGAAAAGTCCTGTTCCGAGGAATTGAAACATGAGCCCAGCAGTTTGCTTGTGTTGACTGACAATCTATTTGAACAAATCCAACAATGGTCGGAGAGTTGTGCAAGGCTGTCACAGACTGGTGGCTACCAGGTTGCCGTGATGCTGGAAACGATGCCACCAGTATCCCAAGAACCAACAGTGGGGTTTTCAGACTCAGACAGAGTAGAAAGCAAGGCCTGGCAATCTACTGCTAATAATCGGCCAATAAAAACCTTACCAATGACAACAGAATCCTGTCCTGATATAAGATGGGTCCTTAAGTTACGAGGCATTACACAATAGATGCAACAATAGTCCAAAAATAGTCGCGCCGTCATGAATACAGGGCAGGCCTGGACAGCATTTTGTTCTGCTTGAAATAAGGTTGCCCTAAGTGGAAACTGAATAGACGACAACAAACAATAAAAACCCAGTGTTACTGCTGGCCTTGAGGTTAGCAGCCCAATGCGTAACCACTCTGATACCAGGGCGCCAACAACAATAACCCAGCAGTAGTAAGTCCTTGGTGAGCGAAAACCAAAGCCCATTGTCACTGGGCCCATTCCAACTCATAGCAAACGCTCTAGGTTAGAGTAAGACTGGTAACACTGGCCCATCCAGTTCCGAGGCTGCTATCTTTATGGAAGCAAACCGTCACATCTTTCATCCAAGGAGCAGCTGTTGTAGTTGAACGAGACACATATTTAACCTGTGGGCTCTAAGGGCTCCCAAGGTCCTGATATCAGAACAAAAACCCATTGCTATCAAGTGGATTCCAACTCAATGGCCCAGTAGGACAGAGTAAGACTGCCCCTTACTGTTTCCAAGTTGTAGATCTTTTTTTTTTTTTTTCCAAGTTGTAGATCTTTACAGAAGCAGGCTGCCACGTCTTTCTCCCACAGCACAGGTGATTGGATTCGAACCGGCAAGCTTTCTGTTAGCAGCCACGCAGCAGCCAGTTCTCCAGCACTTCTTGTTCAGGGTGACTAGACAGTACGCAAGCTGGGATGTGAAGGACCTGAGGCTGTCAGAGTGGTGGACCAGCAGCACAGAGAAAAGCAATGGGGGAAATTGAAGCAGACTAATTGCAGATCTGCTGTTTCCCCTCAGCAGGACATGCTGCTGCAAGCGCCCCAGCCCCCGCCCCCTCCCCAACACACACAATGCAGCCTTGGAAGCCTAAACAGCATAAATGGCTAAAGGTGTCTTCTGATGAACAAGGCTTTACTTCTTTGACAGGTAACCGACTTCAGGAACAAGAACACCTGGAAGCTAGCTCGTGCCCTGTTCCAAATCCCTCAGATCGACTTCATTATGAGCCGCCACCTGTGCCTCAGCTCATCAAACCCTGCTGCTTTCTGGTTCTGATCTGTTGCAATCCACCCAAGAGTCGTTTCTAATTATAAAAGTAAAATAAATAATTCATGGAGCTTTCCTGACCCTTCCAGCTTACAGCAATGTAAAACTCGTCTATGCTGACAATCACGGAATTGCAAATTGCTTAAACACTTGTGTTAAGTAATTACTTAGCCAAGTGGTTGAAGCCTAACTCATAAGGATTGCCACGTGGGAGAAACCAAAAAACCAAACCCACTACCACGGAGTGCATTCTGAATCATAAGGACCCGATAGGACAAGGAGAATTGCCCTGTGGGTCTCTGAGGTTGTAACTCCTTCGGGAGGACAAAGCCTCATCTTTCCCCCAATCCTCCTCCTGCAGAGCAACTGGTGGTTATCAGCCCAATGTGTAGCCATTGTGGTGCAGGATAGCTCCGTTTTAATCAGTAAAAAGAATGTAGACATCAAAGTGTTGCTTCAACAAATGTTTGTGGCAGAGAATGCTACAGGTTCATTGACTCTTGTGTACGCACAGAATGTGGGTGGAAGGAATGTGGGCCATTCTCAGTCGGTTAAGCCTTCCGTGGTCTTCCTCTTTTTCTACTGGATGCTAAGAGGAGTCCTGGTGGCATAGTATTTACGCATTGGGCTGCTAACAGCGAGGTCTTCAGTTTAAAACCACCAGCTGCTCCTCAGAAGAAAGACAAGGCGTTCTAATCCTATAGAGTCGCAGTCTTGGAAACTCACAGGGGCAGTTCTATCTGGTGCTGTTGGGGAGCGACGAGTCAGCATCAACTCAACAGCCATGAGAATCACTGCTAGGGTGCAGTTAAAGAGCTCAGCTGCTATCTCAAAGGTTGGAAGGTCAAGTTCACCCAGAGGCATCTCAGGAGAAAGGCCTGGTAATCTAATTTTGAAATTTCAGTGAATGACAACTCAAAGGATTTAGCAGCCTTGATCTCCTTTATGATCCATTTAAATTTGTTCTGGTTTTTAATATTTTCTGTTTTCGATTGAGGTGTTTAATCTGTTTTAATTTGTTATGTCTGTAAGCTTTGTTTGTACTTTAATGTTTTTCTGCAGATGAAATCCAGGATAGGAAAATCGATAGAGATAGTAACTGGATCAATGGTTCCTTGGGAATATGCCAAGGGAGTTGGGGAGAAATAGGGGGTGGGAAGCTAATCATGAAGAGTACAAGAATGAGGAGAATGTCCTACAACGGATTGCAGTGATGATTGTACAAGTCTTCTTGATGGGTCTGGACTACTCAGTTGTATGATATGGGAATTATATGCCAAAAGAACTGCTGGGAGGGAAGGGCACAGTTCTGCTCTGACTCAACAGCAGCTGGCCTCACTGTTTGATCAGAGAGAAAGGCAAGACCCTGAAGGGACTTCATCAGCACAGAGACCCAGGAGAAGCTCCTGGAGTCTGACTGAGGACATTGAGCTCAGCCCATGCCCCTCCACACACACAGCCACCTCCCCCCACACTGCACAGTGCCCTGAGCAAGAATCAGACTTGTTTTCAGACTGGACTTGGGGGAATTGTTTCTTACAGCATTGAGCCTATCCTGAAGGGTGCCATGCGTTAGAGATTCAAACTTCGAACTAGGCTAGCAAATGTTCAGTAAGACATTTAGTTAGGTGCTCGCTTCGGCAGCACATATGCTAAAATTGGAACGATACAGAGAAGATTAGCATGGCCCCTGCGCAAAGATGACATTTAGTTAGTAGGCATGAGTCCTCCAAGGCATTCATCTATTCAACTCAGAGAACCCTATAGAGCAGCAGTTCTCAACCTGTGGGTCACGACCCCTTTGGGGGTGGAATGACCCTTTCACAAAATTACAGTTATGAAGTAGCAATGAAAATAATTTTATTGTTGGGAGGTCATCACAACATGAGATACTGTATTAAAGAGCCATGGCATTAGGAAGGCTGAGAACCACTGCTGTATAGGATTTTGGAAACTGTAAGTTGTTAGAGAGCAAGAGCCTCTTCTTTCTCCCACAGAGCTCGCTGGTGGTTCCAATGGCGGACCTTGGGGTTAGTAATTCAATTCATTACCCTCTATGCCACCAGAGTGACTTTAAGGTAATGCAACCCATATAAACCTTAAAGCACTTTATTGATTTCCTTTTTTTAAATTGTGAATTAGGTGGAGAGGTTTACATTTCAGACCATCAACTCTGCATTCAACAGTTCAAGCTTCTCATCAGCCTCCTCCCCGCCCCCCCATTCTATTCCACGTCCCATCCCTCCCTAATAATTTTGTCTCCCTTTTAGGAAATGCTATTCTCCCTTTCACACAAGCCAACTCCTGTCAAGCTGCTACTCTGTTGCTTCATCTTATCACCCTTTTCCTCAATTTTAAAGCATTTAAAAAGGAATTTTGGAAATTGTACATTGTTTAAAATAGCTGAGAACTAGTAGCCATGATAATATAAACGATTGGGGGAAATTACCATTCATAGTATGTTTAGGCTGCTTGCCTAAACTTTAGGAACGTTTAACTGGACTATATTTACACATGATGCTAGCACAGCTTCCCCTTGTGAGGAAAGCATGTACAGTAGTTGTTTCTTAAGCTGAAGCATCTTCAGATGTAAGCACACAGTTTCAACTTGGAATTTCAACACACACATATGAGGCCTGGTAGCATATTGTTACACATTGGGCTGCTAACTGCAAGATTATCAGTTCAAAACCACTAGCCACTCCATGGAAGAAAGATGAAGCTTTTTACTCCCATACAAATCTCAGAAACTCACATGGGCCATTCTTGTCTACAGGGTTGTCATAAATCAGAATTGACTATATATATATATATATATATGTGTGTGTGTGTGTGTGTGTATACATATACATGTACATATACATATACATATACATATACACACACATTCCTCTCCCCAGGCCTTTTCTTTGAGAAATATGACATTGTTTTTAGTTTAGATCTCCATTTTTACTTTTAAAATGTGCATGAAGGATGAACTTATTTCAAGTTTTCTATTTAAATCAGAGTCACACAGTGTCTAGATTTCAAAAGTGGTGCCCTAATCAGCAAGAACAATCTACGAGTGCTTGTTACGTGTTAAGTATATTTTGAGTTACAACTTACTAGATGAGCAAATTTAGTGACAAGTTCTTATTCCCTACTGACCAAAAGGATTTCATTTGGCATGTCTGTTAGATCAATTGTCCCAAACTTCTTCCTCCTACCACTCCTCATGCTAAAAGACCTTCCAGCCTCTTTCAATCCATCTGGGACTCGTTAGCGCCTTCCTGCCAATCGCACTGTCATCCGTCACTTTTCTTCTTCCCTTTTATGTCCTCAACCAAACAAGTGTCAGCTCTCTGCTCTCACCGAGGTTAGGAACCCCACAGAGGCCTCTTTCCAACAAATCTGGTGTGCAGAGCCCTAATCTCCCTTATTCCTTCTGCCTCCCAACCACGCCACCTTTTACTGGGCCTGGGTCTCTGCTGTTTACTTGGGTTCTGCATGTGGAACAGGTGCCAATAGCTCTCAGGGTCTAAACATCAAAATGTTTGTGAAATGGGCTTTTGCACTCCACTGATCTGTGTCAAGCAGAGCAACAGGGAAGCACGTTTATAAGAAACACCTTTTCTGGCTCTATGAGAACACAAGTTTCACAGAGGGTGCACTTAGCCATTGTTTTTCTTCTCTGGTGCATGAAAGCAAGTAATGAATATGAATATGCAAATTATCACTTGTGACTCATGGCTTTTTCAAGAAGTATGAATTAGTTATTTCATGCTGAGTGATGTTAGGCATTTTATTACATTTCATCTAAGACCTTTTTCTTTCATTCTGTTCCAAAACAACTAAACTCACTGGCATCGAGTGGACCCGCCTCATATTAACCCACAAGTAGGATTTCCGAGGCTGTAAGTCTTGACCAGAGCAGACAGCCCCGGGTTTGTCCGGAGCAGCAGCTGGTAAGTGTGAACGTCCCACCTTACCCAACAGCACCACTGAGACTCATTCCAGTTCTCTCTCATCGTCATCAAATTGATTCCGACTCAGAGCGAGTCTACAGTTCAGCGTAGAATTGCCCCCCTACACTGTGTTTTCCAGACTTTCAATCTTTGCAGGATTAGAAAGCCTCATCTTTCTCCCAAGAACCAGCCGGTAGTTTTGAACTGCTGACCTTGTAGTTAGCCACCCAAGAAATAACCCACAACGGCACCAGGGAAACTATATGCAGAAGTCACTATAGGTAGTGGAGAAGGGTGCAAATAATTTGCCTTTAAAATTGGAAAATGAATGTTGACCAAATTCCTATAAAATGGATACACACAAGGAAATCTCCATTACTCATTTTCTATTAAAAAAAACCAAATAGGTTCTTCTTGGGTTTTACAAAATGAATGAAAATGAGAACTTCATCTTGTTAGATGAATGTTTGTTGGGGGTGGGTGGAGAACCCTATAGGAATTTGTATAACATCTTAAGTAGGTTTAAATAATCCTTGAAATTGAACCAGAAGTACATTTGATAAAACTCATCTTTCTCTCTCAAGAGTCCCATTCCGGGTAACATGTGTGCAAATCCTAGGCAATATATGGCTGCAGAGCGAAGCAAGGGACACATCAGGAGTTGCGCCAAGTTCTTTTTGAGTTATGCCCCGTCACTCCTCTGTGTTCTCGGTTGATAATTCCACTTACGTAGCACAGAATAAAAACAGAAAGAAACCATATTCTCTGGGTATTGTTGAGCAGAGAAACAAGTTTGAGGTCATTCAACATAAATATTTATTGAGCCAAGAACTGTTCTTCAAACGTGTGCTTCTGGTGTTTTCCTCGGTCTGCGAACACAAGCAGCATGATTGCGCTTGTAAATGGGATTGAATTTACAAGACTGTACCCTGTTCCCTCCATAACCCCATTCCTTCGTCACTCTCGTCCTCTCTCCATCCCTCTCTCGTCTTCTCTTTCTTAGAGCCACATTGGCTCTGGTTTCACCATGTTGAACTCAAGAGTATGCGCCTATGACAAGTTGCGCACGCTCTGACCTACTAGGAGAGAACTGCCAGAACTCAACCAGTACAAGTAAAACAAACGGCGAGCCACGGGTGCCGCTAGGAGAAAAACAGAAGGACATCATCTGCAGCGATGACACAATAAAGTATCACTGATGTCACCGCATGGAAAGAACGGTTAACGATTTCTTGGAAGTAGAGAAGCCACTGGGTCAAAATGGCTCATGTTGGCGTCCACTCCTACACAACCTTCATTCCTTTACCAAGTTGCTCTAGGCAGAGAGGGCAGAGGCAACAGTAGTTACCTGAGATTGCAGGCTCTCCTTTCTGAGGATCCTCAATGGGAACAGTGGTGAATTATGAATTGAGAATCTAACTCTAGTAATGACTCGCTGGCGTTTCTCCTGGGGGAGGTCATGCCTCTTTATGAGAAACATAATGGAAGATGGCAGTCCCCAGGCTAGGATTGTTTCAGGGCTAAGTGGAACTTTAGTGACACCTCTCTGACCTCCTCTTCCACCGCCAGCTTGCATTCTTGCTTTCTATTCTGGCTCTGCAATGCTGAAGCGGTTCAGTGAATTTACTACGGCACTCTTGCCATCGCGGATGGAAGAAATACGACCAACTAAATAAGAAGGGATCAAAAGCACGCGCACGGGGAAAGTGAAAGCGTTGGCTGGCATGCTCTGGAAGTGCCTACATCATCATCTCGCCCCCCATGTTCTCCACAAGCCACGGTTCCTTCTTTCACTCGCAAAGAGGGGAAGATCATTGTTGCGTCGTGCCAACTGATTTGATGGTAGCATCTTACCCACAGGCATGCACATAAACAATACTTGGGACACTCCGTCATAAAGGGTTCACAAATTTCTAGAGATATTTATAGTACAGCCTTTGCTCGACACAAAATATACCTATGAAGTTCCAGTTCCTGTTGACATATATGACTCTCAGGAGCTATTATATATCATATTAACGTTTCCTTGCAGAGAGCCTACTTCAACACTGTGCCAAAAATTTAATCTGAAACCAGGCAAAACTGAACCACGCTGTGATTCAGACTGTGCCAAAATTTGACTCAGAAAGTATCACAAGTGTATAAAGCAAATGAAACATTAGCCATCCTGGAGAGAGCCAGGTATTTTTAAGCTAACTTTCTAAGAATCTCTTGATACGAAACTCTGCTGTGAATTCATTGGACCATCCACATTTGCCGTTCTCCATCCCCACACCTAGCACTTCAACATCCCTCATCAGCCTCACTGCACATGTCTCTGGTCCACTCTCCCAGCCCCTCCAACCGCCATGTCATCATGAAGACTATCTTGCTAAAAGTATCATAATGTCCTCCTCCTGTTTAAAAGGCTCCACGTGTTCCTGCATCTCAACAGGACACATTTGAATTCTTTAACTTGGCATAAATCATCTTCTACACATTTATTCCTAACCGACCTTTCCAATCACATCTACTATGCCATTTCATTACAGCCACGTGTGCTACCGCATCCCTGTCCATATGTGCTCCTTGGTAAATCCTGCTTCGTACATACATTTGACTTTGCTTAAACTTTCTCCTTGTCCCTCTCTCTGCCTTTCTAACCCAGCTTTCTCTAATTTATCCAGGAACAGTTAGCAATGTTGTCAGAGTAATATATTCACCTGTGAGGACACCCATATTTGTCCTACTTTCTCCTCCACCTTCACTAGTCTACATATTCTATGAGGGCTGAGGCCATGGTGTAGATAGATAGA